CTAATGTCCAACCTAGACCTTATTTGCTGCAATTTAAGCCCATTGCTTCTTGACCTATCATCTGAGATTACAGAGAATATTTTCTCTCTCTTCTCCTTGTAACACCCTTTTAGATACTAGCAGTTTTCAAGTAGGGACAGATTTGTAATGTTACCCAAGGAACAATCTGTTCAGATACATTTCTGCTCTGGGAGAGCTAGAGAACGGATTTCTCCCAGCCCCTGAGGGATTGCAAAGCAGCACAGAGAGATGCTAACAAGGCGATGGAGATATTTGCAGTGTGGTCATGTGAATTCTATTGTGGGGTTGGGGTAACTGTAGCAGAAGACTTCTGAAGGAGGAGAAGCCAGATCTATATCATGCCCTGGTCAAGGAGTTGTGTACCAGACTGCCAGACTCTTCAGTGGTGTATGGTATGACTTGGCCATGGAGTAATCTCTCTACAAAGCCAGTGGGAAGGTGCTGAGTGAGCGTTACCTGACTGCACTTTTGGGGGCAGCTGTAATAGTGATGACAAACCAAATATGTGGGTTGCAGTCTGCAGCCACAGAGCTCCACTAAGAAGCTACCACCCAGCGCATGGTGCTGTCCCAGCTTTGAGAAAAGTTAGGGCCTGAAAGAATGACAGATCCCTGGAGCTGGGATGCCCACTGGGCCCTACCGGAAATTACAGCAAGTTTGTGCATAGGCAGCGAGCGTGGCGGTCTGGGCTGCAGAGGAGAGAGGGGGGCCCACTGTACTTCCAGACAAAGGGCGAAACTCAAATCATTTGGAATCTGAACGTGACCAACAAGAGCAGCAGATGACAGCACACGGGGCAGCTGCCAATTGTCAGCTGTTCTGCAAGCTGGCTGTGACGGCCTGGCGCAGAGATGAGGGTAGCCAGGGTGTATGACGTGGGAGCTGGCACCTGGCCAACGTGGATGGCTCTTGACGAGTGACCCGAAAGAGCAGCCCGATGGCTTGGCTGCAGGAAAATCTGTCAATGGTTCAGCCTCCTGGAAGCCCACATGAGCTGTTATTGACGTCATGGGGATTCTGACGATGGTGTTTGATCAGCCACGGATCGCGTGGGTATCCTAGCCAGTGGGGGTACGAGTGATTCACATATTTTTGGTGGCCCAATATATATTGAAGAAAAGGGGAATCCGAGATCCCCGTTCAAATCAGAAGAGAGCTGACCCAGGATCTTCCACAGCCCTGCTGCCTGCCCTAACCACGGGGCTAGAAGGGGCTTTTCATGCCAAGCTCTTCTTTTGGCCCTGTTTGAATATTGAATTCAAGTGGATCTGCTGCAACAGGAAAGACTGAAAGAGCCTATGGGCCATCTTGTTTCTCCTAAGGCAGCTAGAGGAGCTGAATAGGCCTGCTGAATGGGGGGAAGGTCAATTGCCCCGGGGCCTGGCAATTCAAAGGGGCAATTCAAAGGGGCTACCACCGCTGCGGCAGCAGTGCGGCTGGAGCCTGGAGCCCTTTAAATCTCTGCTGGAGTGCCGCTCCACATGCTCCAGGCAACTCTGAGGGCGGGGGAAGGAGGGGTGCTCTGTGCCCTGGGCAGCGCTGAGGGCTGGCTGCCCAGCCCCGCCCCTTCCACACTAAGTCCCGCCCCTTCTGGGGCTTCAGTAGGTTAATCACTCCGGAGGCCGCTCTTGCTTGGTTCTGTGACTATTGAATTAAAGCCCAGGGGCGCTCACTGTTCCAATTGCTTCGTAAGCTGGAAGACTTGAATGAGGGTCTCCAACGGCCTTGAAGAGCCCCAAACGCCCTGACACCCAGTGCGCCTCGTGGCAGCGTCAGCCCAATTCAGAGCTCAGTAAGGTGGAACAGCTGCAGCAGGGGCCGTGCTGCGGAACAGGTCAGGGCCCAGCTGTTAGGACAGTCCCTGCAAGGTCGGAGACCCCCGTTCAAATCCCGTGTTGTCAAGAAGCTGGGGATTGACCCAGACTCTCTCCCAGCCTGGGCAAGGACCCAGACCGCCGGCCAGCCGCACGAGTCTCACATGCTCAGGGCCTAGCTAATTATGGAACAGCTTCTGCCAGACAGGAACCTGCAGGAGATCCCCCATTCAGGGCTCTCGCTAAAGGGCAGCTCTCCAGCCAAATCCCAACTCGTAGAGGGAGGGGAATAGAAGCAGCATCTAGCACAGCCCATCTGGCTACCTCAGTTGCTGGGCTCAGGCTGTGTGTGGGGAAGCTGCTTCTCTCAGGAACTCGGCTGGGAGGTGGCAGATCCTTCCGAGTGAGCACCTCAGCCATTGAATTATTGTATAAGGGTGGCTGTTTTCCTTCCCCCCTCTCTCTCCCCCTCGCCTAGGCGGGCTCTTTGCATGGCTCCCAGATCGAGTCCCAGAGGGAAACTATGCACTGTTTGCCCCCAGTTTGAGACTTGCACTGGGCATGAGCAAGTTTCTGGTACTTGGCAGGTGGGAGCGGTGCCTAAACCTGGGATTTAACCTTGTTGGAGCCGGCTTTGTGGGCCTCAGTGCAGTCTGTGTGTCCCTGCTTAGTGCCTCTGACTCCCGGGCTGTGTCTGTGAAAAAGGGCTTAAAAGGATCCCCAAACTCTACCCCAGGTGCTATTCTGGGTCACCTCTCTGGCATACCTGTTCTCAAGCCAATTCTGCTCTGCACTTGCATTGCACAGCACTTCAAAATTAAACACAGACCCCTTCCTGGGAAGGGAACTGTATGCCTGGAACCCCTTGACCATGGCCCCAAATTTGCACCAGGCATGGTCCCCAAAGCCGTCTCCTAGCTTCCCAGGCCTGTCTGACTCTCTCTGTGGCCTGCAGAGCGCTTTGGAAGTCGACTTTTAGGAGAAACGCTGCTGCAGCCCAGTGCTCCATGGCTGGCTGGCAACAGCAGCACTTTGTAGAACACTATGATGGTTGGATTCCTGGGCACCGGAGCTGGGGCTGGTCAGCACAAGGGGAGGCTGGCACGATACATTCCATTAGCTCTGCGCAAAAGAAAAGGGATTTCTTGCCCTCCCCTGAACAAGCGTGAAATGTCAGCTGTGGTGGCAGTAACCTAGTGGCAAGCTGTCTCATATATAAGCGTCCTCTCATTAGCCACATGCTAATGACTGGGTCACATTGTAGTCGGTGAGACTAAGACATTAATGATCACTTGAATATTGCATGCAGATGTGATCACCTCCGCTTTAAAAAGATTTTAACTACCTGGAAATCACTGGGACTGGTTTGGTGAGTGCGTATCACTCCGGCCCGTCTACACAGCAGGGCTTAACTCAAAATAAGCTACACAAATTGAGCGATGTCAATTGCGTATCTTATTTCAAAATAGCTTATTTCCAGTTTTGGTGCTGTCTACACAGCACTTCTTTCGAAATAGAGCATGTGTCCTCCAACTTCTCTTACTCCTCATAAAATGAGACCTACAGGCGGTGGAGTAAGAAGTCCTACAGCTTGACAGTATTTCGATGTTATGTTGAAATAACGGCTGGCTGTGTAGATGTGGACTGGTATTTAGAAATAATGTTGCTGTGTAGACATAGCTGAAGGGTGCTGCATTAGCCATTTTGTGGTTCATAGTTATGGGGGGAGGGGGTTATATAAGAGCACATGATTATACTTTGTTATATACACAAACTATCAGACAAGATTTTCTACACCCCTATAGCCATTAATGATCTATAGGCAGTTTACATTGTAGTCAGTGAGAGATTAAATCTGGCTTGAATACTGCATGCAGATGTGACCACCCCATCTTTAAAAAGATATAGTGGAATTGGAAGACTACAGAAAGTGCCAACAAAATGGGTTACAGTCACAGAACAGCTCCCATATGAGGAGGGATAAATAAGATTGGGAAGTTTGGAAAAGCGACACTCAGCGGGGATAGGATCGAGATCCAAGAAATCATGGCTGGTGTGGAGAAAGCAAATAAGGAAGTGTTATTTACTCCTCATAACACAAGAACTAGGGATCACTAAACTAAATTAATGGGCAGCAGGTTTTAAACAAACAAAAGCAGGTACAGAAATCTTTGCCAGAGGCTGTTGTGAAGGCCAAAGCTGTAACAGGGTTGAAAAAAGAACTATAGATAAACTGATGGAGGACAAATTGATCAGCAGCTTAGCACCAGGATAGGCAGGGACGGTGTCTTTGGCCTCTGTTTGCCAGAAACTAGGAATGGGCAACTGGGGATGATCACTCAAAAATTGCTTCTTCTGTTTATTCCCTCTGAAGCACCTGGCATTGTCCATTGTCTGGAAGACAGGGTACTGGGCTAGATGGACCCAGCATGGCTGGTCTTATGTTCTTACCATAAGCACTTTATACTTACAGTCTCCAGCAGAACAGATAACATCAAAATCTATGTTTTATAATTAAAGGGTAGGGCTCTTATTATCTGTGCATCAGAAAAATAGTCAGAAACACTCCCCTCTCCCATATTAGTCCATTCTCCAAATAGTGACAACTATTTTGATGACTTCCATGGTACAAATTAGCTCATACTGTCCTGTGTGACTACAGAGTTTTGGTTTAGCCTAAGAGCTGGCACGAGGATCAAACCCACCCACATGGAGCTAAATCTTTCCAAACCAGTACTACTAGCTCCAGTACATGGTTGCATTAACAATGGTAATTCAAAGCTTCCAGCCATAGTCCTGTATTTTGTTTAAAATTAGTGTTTCTCTGGCCCTTTTGGTGAGTTTCTGATTCCCCCCCCCCCCCATTGGATGCCCCATAACCATAAAGGGATATAGAAAACTATGGTTTCTCCCTGATGGTTACCTCCTACTGCCCCAAATGGCTCTGGGCTGGCACACGAGTAGGGAGCCTAAGGGGCAGTAGCATGGGCTGCAATCGCAGTAGGAAGGCGTGGGGGCAGGGGAGAGGATGGGGCTAGAAGCGCAGGGTGGAAATGCTACGTTCCTGCAACTGACCAGAGCGGGTCTTAGTGCAACTCGGGCACGTTCTGAAACTGACCAGAGCGGGTCTTAGTGCAGCCGGGGTGAGCGCGCCTCGCTCTTTACCTTGGGGAGCCGGTACTTGTCTCTAAAGTGGGTCCGGAGCGTGGCTCTCTCTGCTTTGCGCTGGGCGAACTGGGCGTCCCTTTCCATCCTGGAAACGAGGGGAGAAAACAACGGCGGTCAGCCAGGCTGCCCCAGCTCCGGGCGCCGGGCAGGGCCGGTCAGGTCACCCATAGCCGGCGCGCCCGCCCGCGCTGAAGGGAAGCCTGGATCCGACAGGGACAGGCCTGAATGCGCCAGATGGGGCTCGAAGGCTGCTCTCCAAGTCGCATGCGGCTTTCTCCACCTGAGCCCCTCTCTGCTACAGCCACGCCAGGGGAATACAGCACCGGCAAGGGAGCGAGTCCGGTTTCTGTTGCTTACGCATTATATTCCTAATCATCACGTAGCACACGGCGGCGGCGGCGGGAACCCCTCTGTGTTTACATTCCAGAACAAATACATCGAGGAATCAAACCAACTGGGGTCTGCGGCTCTTTTGGCCGGCGGTCAGGCCCCTCCTCACTTTGATTTATTTAATGGCCAGGAATTTGGAGGCTAGAAAGCCGGCTGGAAATGAACACAGCCAGGTCCGCGCTGCTTTTCAGCCTGCTCCTGTCTTCAAGTCAATCGCCTTTAACTGAGTTCCATTGCCTCTCTCGTAACCGGCTGTGACAATCCCTGCACGAGTCCGGGATTAATGGTTGGAGAAGCCAATGGGCTGCAGCTAAAGGGATTGGCGAAATTAAGAGATTAAAGACCTTTCAGGAAGGTGGCGGCAAGGGAGGGTCGCCCTCTGCGCTTGTCTTTGGTCAGGTGTGAAGGCTCGGAGTGTGCTGAAGAAGCCTAAATACAATTTGATCCGGATTGCGGTAGAGCTCGTGTGCACGCAATTTCCCAGTGAATTCTCAGGGCCTTCACCATGTATAAACATTCGTCCAAAAACGCAGGAACGAGGGACCCTAAAAGAAACTTCGGCGGAGAGCCCTAAACCCTCACACTCAATGTGGCCCAAGAGGCGAACCAAGCCCATCGCGCCGATGCGAAAACGGATTAAAAGATGATGGGTTTCATTCAAATTACATTTCTAACGTCCCCCGCGTTCCGCAAGTCATTGATTGCAGTTTCTCCCTCCTTTGCGTTTCCTTTGAAAGGGCGGCAGCTGTCAGCTCTGGGTGCAAACCAGCCACCCAGCCCAGGATCCCGACCAGCTCCCCGAATGGCCGCGCCGGTTCGACTGCGCGTTTAAACCCAGGGTTGCCCCGGCGCTGGGGCACGCGCTGAAGTTAGTTCCAGCCCAGCCGCGCGCTCTGCAAGGGCGATTGTCGGTGGGTGTGCTGAATCGGGAACGATTCGCCTAATTCGGCGCAGCCATCGGGTTCGCTGGTTTACGCGAGGTAGGCAATTCAAATCCGGGTTGCTACAGGTGGAGACGCGGGGGGAACTTCCCCCTTCCAGGCTCCCTTTCCATTTGGGGGGGCTTCCTGTCCGGCACCTCGCCTGAGGGGCTGGCCAGGGTCCCATTGAGCAAAACCCGGCTTCTTTAGCGAACGCCTCTGACATTTTTGCTGGGATTAGGGGGAGGTCCCCACAAATCTAGCAGACCTGTTCACCCGGTTTTGTTTAAGCTGATCCCGGACTGGATCCCAGCGGGCAGCGGAGAGGGCAGGTGAAGGGCTCCAGGGAGAGGGTAAGGGGGCAGAAGGGCCAGCAGCACCCACCGCCCCCTCCTCCGACCCCCCGGCACTTACTTTTCCTCCACAAGCTGCTTCTGGTATTCCTCGTACTCCTCGCGCGTCATCCCTTGGGCTTCGGCCGGGGATTTCTCCCCTTCGCCCTTCTCCTCTCCGCCCAGCCCCCCGGTGAGGTTTTTCAGCTGGCCGCCCACCATGGACTTCACCATGAACGCCATCGCGGGCCGGGCCGGGCCGGCAGGCGGACCGAGGAGCAGCGGGGTGGCTGGAGCGCTCTGCGGCCGCTGGGCTCAGACCAGCCCCGCTCCGGCTCCCATGGGTGTGCGGCTCCGAGCGCCTCCCTGCCTGCGCCGGGCTCAGGCACCTGGTTCAGCACCACAACGCCTGGACAGCTCCCGCGGGGCGGGGCGGGGCGAGGCTCCCTCCTTCTCCAGCGGACGCGCGAGTCTGAGCTCCGCTCGCAGCCTCCCCGAGCTTAACTCTGCCCCCCGCCCGCCGCCGCCCCACCCACCGCTCCCCTTGGGCGCGGAGGATTAACTTGTTTATCGGCGTGACGACACCAGACCACATGGCCCCAGCCCCAGGCTGCTGCTCGCAACCCCTCGGCTCCGCGCGGCTAAAGCAGGGGGCGCAGGACAGCGACGAGGCTGGGTCCCCCCCTCCCCCGGCTGCCTCCTGGCAACGAGTGAAGAGCTGGAGCTGCGGGAACCCTGCGGGAACCGGGGCCCAACGCGATCCCCAGCCAACGCTGCTGCAGGTCCCCCCGCTCCCTTATAGGGTTAGCATTGAAGCCGAGGGCCCTAGATTGCCCCACCACGACCGTGCTCACCATGGCGGCCAGGAAAGCTGCCACTTTTTAAATCCAGGGGCCGCTCAAACTGCATGGCACTGTGAACCCTCCCTCCGCCCCCAACGCGCAACCTGGGCAGGTCGAGTGAAGGCTGAGCCTGCTCCAGGCCTGTGCCCCGAAGCTGGGGAGAGCTGAAGTCTGAGAGCTCCAGGGCAGGATCTTAACAAGGTGGGGAAAAAGAGCTAGAAAAGCCCCTGGAGGATAGGGCCATCAATTGCTATTAGCCAGGCTGGTCAGGGAGGCTATTAGCCTGTGGCTAATTAGCCTGTCAGTCAGAGGCTGGGAATGGGTGACAGGGGACGTGATGATTCCCTGTTCTGTTCCCTCCTTCTGGGGCACCTGGTGTTGGCCACTGTAGGCCGACAGGACACTGGGCTGGAAGGACCTTTGGCCTGACCCAGGATGGCCGTTCTGCTATTCACCCTGGGCAATGGGGTTTGGACTTCAGTGTTGGCCTCGGGATGCATGTGTCGTCAAGGATCACTCCCAGGGGAGCAGAGTCCTAGCTCAGCCTTGCTAGGCAGCCAGAGGGAGACACAGCCAGAGGGCAATGCAATGTGATGCACGCCCGAGCAGGCCATTTGGAAAGATGCGGGGGAAGGAGGGGGGGTGTAGACCTAGAGCTGTCTCAACGAGCCAGCCAAATCTTGCTGCCGCCGTTGCTTCGATGGAGACAGGGCAACCTTCAGAACGAATCAGCGACTTCCAAGACAATGTGGTTTCCAGACAGCAGCTTCAGCACCATCATGAATGTAATCACCCTGGCCACACATCACCCATGGACTCCCACACATCCACATGGGACACTGGCTCCCTTCCTGCAACGCTATTCCCTGTGTCAAACGGAGAACAGAGTAGGTGCCAGAGGTAGCAGGGCCTTGCCCCAAATCGATAACAATCAGACTAACATAGGTGCCAGCCAGGTCATTGAAGGACACAGAGAGCCCAAGTTATGTGCAGGAATAAATGAAGTCCCCAGCAGTGGGTTTTTCCTGATTTTCTCTGTTTAAAAAAATCCTTTCTTTATGTCCCCATCTGCCTTCTCTCTGCAGCGAGCGACTACAAGGAAAGCCCTTTCAAAGACATTCAGAGAACAGAGAGAGCACAGAGCTACAGTTAAAGAAACCTTCATTTAAAACCTCACTCAAAGGGAACAGGGAGGGGGGAAAAATCCCAGCTGCAGTCAATAGGAGTCTTTCCACTGCCTCCAGTGAATTTTGGAGCAGGCCTATAGTAGAGAGAGATCCTTGAACCCAAAAGTGGGGAACTTACGGGCCCGAGGGCCAGATCTGGGCCCCGGCTTGCCTGGATCTAGCCCCCAAGGTTCAGGGATCCCACTCCAGCATCCTCCCTCCTGCCCAGACCCCATACCTGCTTCCCAGCAGCTCCCTCCGCACATTGAACTCCTCATTTTTGGTCCCACCCCAGAGTGTATGGAGGGGGCCCACAAAATCTACTAGCCCCAGCCCCCTTAAGCTCTGGTGTACAAGGTGCCCAGACCCCATACCTGCTTCCCAGCAGCTCCCTCCATACATTGAACCCCTCATTTTTGGTCCCACCCCCGCACATTGAACTCCTCATTTTTGGTCCCACCCCAGAGTGTATGGAGGGGGCCCACAAAATCTACTAGCCCCAGCCCCCTTAAACTCTGGTGGACAAGGGGTATGTGTGTGGGGGGGGGGGGAGAAGGGAAGTTGCTTCTCACTTTTGTCCAGCCCCCGACTGATTTTTCTGTGGGTCAGTGGCCCCCCAAACTCAAAAAATGGTCCCCATCCCTGCTTTAACCTAAAACCACATATGCTGTCATTAAAGTGCTCGCTTACGTCAGGAGGAGGCATAAGGGGGAAAATCTTTAGTTTCACTGTAAAAAATTTCCCTCCCTTAGTTGTCACACATAATAATCTTATTCCAGTCCCTCTGTTAAAGCTTCTACCTACCACAGTGTCACAGGCTTGGTGTGTGTGTTGTGGGTTTTTTTTTTTTTTTTTTTTTGCCATTACTGCATCTATAAAAAAACGCACCTGACTTCTGGTTGGCGTCATGGTGCTCAACCCACATTCCCTTCTCTCTCCAAACTATGTCACGACTGTTTTATTTTCAATAACAAAAACCACGTTTGTGGCAAATCATACAGTTGCCTAAGTTTAAAGACAATCTCTGGAGATTAAAATGCCTGAACAGCTGTGACTCCACAGAGCATGAGGAAGGGGGAGGGGAAGCATCTACCCCTCCCTCCCCCTGGTATAGCTACTGGCAAAACTTTCTCTGTTAAAAATCTGATTTTTTTTTTGCTTGAATAGTAATCTGGGATTTGAAGGTCACTCATTAACTAGCAGGCAAGGCACATTTAAGGACAGCGGGGTTTGGAGCTCTAATCAGTCATCGCTGTGCTGATGTGGCCCGATCTATGCTGGTTTTCTGACTAGCAATTTTGTGTGCCGCAATTTGCCACTGTTGAGCTGGCCTCAAGGAGGCGGCGTTTCGATGAGGAGGGTCCCGTGCTATCTGAAAATCAGATCCCATTAAGGAATTTCATGTTGGGCCCCCCAAAATCTTTAGATAATTTCACAAAAAAATAGGTCCTTTTTTCTTACTGTAGGAGGCACCCTTGTCAGCTGTCCAGAGATGCTACGCAAACCATTGTCACTGGCTTGTGGGCAATTTTTCTCTGGCAGTAATGCCTAGTGGGCTCAGTCAGACACAGGACCCCCATACAGCCTGTAGCCAGACACTGGCCCTGGTGTGGGGGTCTGACCCTCTAATCTACATGACCACATGTACAGAACCAGCACGTAACTTTGTTTTAATTTCCCCAGGTGACCAGTCCTTACTCCTGGTTAGGAAATGGCATTAGAACAATGGAGTCCCTTGGTGCTTTGGGGCTGGCTGCTGGCGATGTCCTACCCAGCACTGTAACGGCCAGGGCTGACTGGTTTCCTTGTGTGCAAATTACATTGCACAAAATCCAGGGTTGCTTATCTCCCCCCATGCTGGCCTAGATCCGTTATCATAGGCCAGAAACATGCCTGTGCTTATTGGGTCCTCTGGAAGAGACCTCAGAAATCATTGAGTCTAATCCCCTGCCCAAAGCAGGACCAACCCCAACTCAGTCATCAGTCAATGATGCACTCGTGGCCAATGAAAATGACTGATTAAGCAACAGTTTTGGAATCAGGTGGGCCTCAAACCAGCTGAGCTGTGTGTGACATGGGACCCAAAAGGGGGTTGGAGAGCGGCAAAGATGGTGGTACATCGCCTCTATCTCCCCCAACCCAATCCCAGGGCCTCTTTGACTCCTGGCTCAACTTCAAGCAGCCACGGGCTGTAACTGAGTCAAGGAGCTGGGTTTGTACAAGCCCCAGAAAGGGGAACTTTTGCTGCATCAGGCTCTCTAGGAACAGGTTTATAAACCCCGCTGAACTTGTCATTCGGTGGTAGCAAAAGAGCAGCAGCCGGAATCTACCTTCCAGTGGCTTTAATCACAGACACGTATCCCATTGCCCTGTCTTGTTTTGCACAGACCTGAGACTGGCTGCTAAGTCTGGACCTAGAGGTGAGGCATCCGTCTGGTACAGAGGTGCTTGACTCTAGGACTTTTGTTCTGGCCTCTTTCTGGCGTTGTTAATTCAAGTCAGACTCCAGCACTGAGTGGGGGTCTCCATACCTGGTTGAGTTCACAGTACGCTCATTAGAAATCTAGGGCATGTCAAATGCCCGGCTCTGCTTTAAAGCATCAGATGAGTCCTCCAAAAGCAGCCAAGAGGGAGCAGGGTCTAGCATTTGGAGCAAGAGACTTGGAATCGGGACTGGTTTTTCTTTCCCCCCAGCTGGATCAGAAGCCTCAACTAAAGCGTAGCCTCCTGGACTGAGAAACAAAACGAAAGAGCCATCGGGTGAGCTGAATTGCTTGGGCTGACCCCGTCGGAGTCAGGTGTCTACCTATGCTGAGAGAGCAAACCAGTTCCCAGGAAACCTCCATGGACGATGTTCAGACACAAACCACGTTGCAGTGAACCGCAGCTGGCTAGGGATGTGGGTCAGACACAGATTAATTCCACCTCCTTCTGAGGTTCAAACGAAACAGCTCACAGCGCTTCGACAATAGCACTCACTCACGGGCCTGGCATGAAGCGCCATTAGAAAATAACATTTGGGGTCCCAGCTTGCCCCTCCACCTGGCTCCACTCCACCGTCTGGATGCAGCTAAGCACTGGTAAAGGTGCGGGATAATTTATCCAGTGCAGAAGTAGGGGAGGGTGCTGAATGCCGCTTGCTCTCCTCAGTACTTATCTGCCCCCCGTCACTATAGTATCTGATCTCCACTCAATCTTTACTGGATTTCATCCTCCAGACCCCACCACAAGGTACTGCGGTTCTGCTGTTCCCATTTTACAGCAGCAACTGCCCAGATCCTCAAACATATGTACGCACCTAATGCCCATTGCACTCAATGTGAGTTAGGCACCTAAATATCTTTGTTAGTCTCAGTCTTCGAGGCTCACCTGGGATGTTTGTGATGGAGCAGGACGTGAGCCCAGTAGCCCAGTGAACGCTGCCACCGGCCAGCCATGCCGGGCCGGAGCAGCCTCAGCCCTGGAGGCGCTCGCA